TTTTTAAATTCATTGTTGTTGGCAATGGGCATCTGACAAGGAAAATCTACCTCTCAGCTTAAAAAGAACTGACAACTGAATTAGTACATTGACCTTGTAGAGTGTTGAAGTAGGATATTATATACATGAGGATCTCTGGCACACTCGAACCATACTACTTTGCAAATAACCAACACAGCAACTCTATAAACTAGGATGCGTATGAGAAAACAGGACGTAAAAAAAGAGTTAGTCATATGAACAGGATCAATGGACAGGTAAATAATATCCAGTAAGAGAGATAATATACAGTGTGAGTCTGCAGCATTTGCAAAATTAAGAGTAGCACACATAGCATTACTACATATGTAGTTTGATTCTCTCCTATGTTATTTCAGTTCTAGAATGCTGTGACTCATTAGTTACACCAGCAAATAACGAAGGTAAAGAAGTGCAGAATCAGGCCCATTGAGCTTCGTGAGCAAAAACCAGGCCCACAGACTGACTCTCTCCTGCATGATAGATTTGTGTGACCCATCGGACACAGTCAGATTCTGCAGAATCTAGTCTTATGTTTAAAAAAAGGTTTTTAACCTTATATTTGCAAATAAAACCTTCCAAATGTGACCCAACTGTAACCGAACTGTATTGCTTTCATGAATCTGCACACAGCCTGAAACAATGGTCCAGTGAGGTATAAACTCCCTGGCCATCCCATTAATCTTATTTGTATATTAGCACTAATGCCTAATGAGAACAGCTATATCAACATAAAAGTGATCAGCAATTAAATAGTCTGTAAAATCAGGAAGTGGGTGAAGTGAAGGCCTTGGAGAATGGTGACTGGATGATGCAGGAGGAAAGAAATGCAGAGTGAAGAAAAGAGGAAAGAAAGCACAGAAAGGAAAGAGGATGAAGAAAAAATAAACAAAGGATACAAACTGTGGTGGTCCTAAAAAAGAGAATTTTGCCACTGAGTGATGCTGAATTGGACTATATGGTATTGAACAAATAATGAATGAGGAGAATTACTAAAAGTTCAGCTACTGCACAAAAGTCGTAGTCTACTCTCACTCTTTACTTAAATCTCCCATTAATAAGAGAAGAGACTCACTGTGAATTAAGGATATTATATAATCCAAAAATTATACTCTGACAGAGCGTAAATAGAATTCCGCCCTCTCCACAGAATGAGCTTGACACCCCTGTTTCAAGGACATATTAATTTAATTCACAAAACAAAGTTATATATGCAAGTACTGGAAAAACAAATTTCACCCTTCTTAAAAACATAAATGACGTGATACTTACAGCCACAACGGATTTCAGACTATTGTCGGTGGGGTGTGCAACACCTGGGTGGAAGCCAGCAGGTGGGCCCAGCGCTGGGTCACTGCTCCTCCTCACTAGCAGCGGTGTGCCTAAAAGACAAAATAAAAGGTTGAGTCAAAAGAGCTTCAGGGTAAAGCTCTGTGCAATTTAATTCAAAAGACTTGCAGCTTCCTTTTTCACACAAGCTTATTATTTCTATAGGTGCCTGTAAATTATTCGATCTGATCGTATTCTGTCACTTATTATCCACTGACATACAGACATCACAAAAGCCATAGACCCAACTGCACAATCCTCCACGATGGCAACGCTAAATTGACCACACGTACGCTAAAATAAAAAAATGCTGACAAGCAGGGGGGGAAGTGACAGTCTTTCAAAACCAATAAAATAACCACTGCAGGGCTTTATGGCCATATGTAGAATCACATTCCAATATGGAAACCATATGCCCACTTTAAGGAATGACCCCATAGGGTACAAAGACTGCTAGTTTTGTTAGTTTCCAGTGATAAATAGAGGTTAGGTGTCCAGGCTGACATTTTCAGATGTACCAACAGCCTTTCATGTCTCAGGCCAACTTTTATTTTATTGTTTTACTACAGACACTAGCTTGGTAGAATTAGATCTCAGGAACACATTTCAGTAATTCTCTCCTTTCATCAAAGGTATCCCAAAGCAGTATGGGCAATTACTCATCTGTCTCAAGCCTTTTATGCAATGCTCTGAAAGATTATAGTCCCCTATTCAACATACATCTGAGGCCATTTGGGCTGCAATGCCACAAGCAGAGAAATAATATACCTTTCTAAGTCTCTTTTCCACTTAAATGGTACATCTCTCTGCTTTCCCAATGCCTGACTCAGGAAGGGCCTGAAGCGGACAGACACAGTCCAGACAAAACAGAGGTGGTGGTGGTGTTAGGCAGAAGCAAGCATCTACATCTATTGTAGTAGTAGCAGTATCTGTTCCACATTACTGAGCATGCCTAGACCTTCCATCAACAGGTTTCACAACCTTGGCAGTTCTTCTTGATCCCCGACTTGTGCCTGGATTCTAAGGTAGCATCTGTGGCCAAATGCAGTTTATATCTATATCTATCTATCTGCATGCATGCACTTGGCTCACCTATTGCAGCCATTTCTCTCTGATTTGGATCTCACCAAAGTTATTCGTGCCTTTATGACTGCCAGTGCACTCTATCTGGGGTTACCCCAGAAGACCAAGATGATATCAGTACACATATTTTTGTGACATTCCATTCCATCCGGTTTGGTGTTTATTCCAAACATCCTGTTCACATTTGTCCTGTAACTTTATCACTTTTCTTTAACCTGTCATATCGCAAATCTTACCATCCTTAGCAAAGTGCTTGAGACAGTAGGCTTTCCTCCTCTCTCTAGACACCTTTGACACTAATATTCTGGACCAATTTCAGGTCTACCAATAGCACAGAATCTGCTCAATTCCACAAAATTAGTCACACACCTTTCTGCTTATGAAAGTTACTTTTCCTTCCTAATCTAACCTTGACCTAAGCATAGTTACTGCAATTAGCCAATTCAGACCTTTTGGACAGACTCCATGTTTGTTTCTTTCCTGTGAAGGTTTCATTCCTACCTACCTTCGGTGACAACTCTATGTATGTTTCAAGACCCCTCTTCTATTGCACTCCATAAATTTCAGAACTCTGCTCTATTTTATCCATAGACACATTTGCCTTTTTGGTTATCCTGTCTTTACTTTTCCCCTTAACTAATATTTTAATACTAACGATATTACATGTACAAATTTTTACCTCCAACTCTAATCCATCCACTTTCTCTGCCAGCCTTCAAGCTACAAACTACATCTTCTACAAATTAAATCAAACTACATCTTCATCTCAACTTCCTTTAGCTAGATATCTCAAAATAAAAGAGCTTGTGTTGGGCATAAGAAACATCCTCAATCTTACATAAAACTCTTATCTCCCTTGATTTTAACCTTCCATTTAACTGCAGGGTCCGTAACCCTGGCATCATCCTGGACTCTGATAGTCTCTCAATCGCTCACATCTCTCATGTCTTAATTTCCTCTCACTTCAACTACAGCAGTACCTTTTCTATGGCCTCTCCAAATGACAGCTAACCTGTATCATGTGCCGAATGCAGTTGCCTGCCTCCTCCCACGTGCAGAGAAGTATGTACATCCACATCACTCCCATCTTCAAACAACCTCACTGCCAAGTCAAACTGGCCCTCTTTTTTTAAAAAGCCCTCCATAGATATACTTCAGGTTCTCTCACAGACCCAGACTCTCTCCATACCCTTTCTTGGTGACCCAGCATTAACCTCTTTGTCCCTTCATTCAGTCTCACCATCGTGAGCATACCACACTCTCCTCACAAGCTTTGGATGTCGAGACTAACCTTACTATGTCACTTTGCCCCACTGATTCAATTTATTTCAAATCTCAGCTGAAATTATCTTCCTCCTTTGCCTATGTCTCAATTTATCTCTTACTCTCTCTACAAATATTATTCAGCTGTGCAGCAATAACTTTTATGTCGGGCTATTCAAAGTGAAACTATTGTGAGCGAGCTCTGCCAGTCAACGTTCTGGAATCCTGCAGGACATAGGACTCTCACTCAATAAAATAATAAAATATATTAAACCTCAAGAACCACAACAGTAGTTAACTAGATAATTATCTGAATTATAAAAATATGGTGGCTGATAATTTGTATATTGATAGTTTGTCAGATGGTAGTCAAATATTAAACCTGAAACTTGGGATTCATAATGGAAATGCTAGCTGAAACCTAACTGTAGATTAACTAACTGTCTTGATAAAATTGTGTGTGAAACATTTATTTTATAGCCAAGCCAACAGCTTCAAAGCACTCAGACTTGAAAAAACAAGCCACTCCTTGATTGCTCAGATAAGCTACCTATTCTTTAAAAGAAAATTTTTCCTTGTAGGAACAGGCAGTTTCGAAAGAGCTGTCTACAATTTCCTTTTTCTCTCCTCTTCCGTAATGATTTCAAAACAACTCCTGAGACATTACAATTTGAATCAGTTGGTGTCTTCTAATAGCCCATTCTCTTTTCATGTAATGCAAACACCATAGAAGAAAGATCTCTCTCTCTCTAAGCTACCAAGGCTAGTGTCAGATTGGTATTTTTGTTAATATCTTCCAAAACTCTGTGATTCTTACTTCAACTCCACCCAATACACTTTTTAAAAGGAAAGCTAAAAACACAACTATACTTTAAAGGTAGGGTGACCAGATGTTTATCAGGACTGTCCCGATATTTGCTTGTTTGTCCCACGTCCCGACCAATGTTTGGTCGGGACACTGGACAAACAAGCAATTTCTGCCCTCCGCTCTGGCTCGCGCCCCACCCCCCAGCCCGACTCCGCCCCTTCTCCCCCCATTGCATAGCTCCCCAAATCCCCGCCCTGGCCCCGCCCCCTCACTGCCCCATTGGATCCCTCCCCAAATCCCCACTGCTTCCCCAAGCACGCCGCATTCCTCCTCTCTCCCAGCCAAGCGCTGGAGGGAGGAGGCCCGGGGACGGTGGGGTGAGTCCGGCCTGGCCCCGGCCTGAGCACAGGCAGGAGGGCGGGGCGGTACCTGCAGGGGGGGCAGCCCCGGGTCCGGCCAGGGGAACTGGCTCTCTACGTGCCAATGGGTGGGGGTGGGAGTGGGGGTGCAGTAGCTGCCCGCGTGGGGACTCCGGTTCCTCGGGGTTTCACTTCCACCATGTGTGCTCCGGCCCTGGGGCGGAAGCAGCCGGGACCCGAGTGGGCATAAGCCAGCTCAGTGCACGCAGGCTCTCGGGCCCCGCACAGCGTGCGCTGTAAAATCGCGCAGAGCCTCTGCTGCCGCTGCGCTCCATTCCCCAGTGGATGGCTGGAACTTGAACCCGCGTGGAGGGATAGTCAGGTGTGAGCGGGGCTGCGAAAGCCTTGCCTCGGACCCTGACTGTGAAAGCCCCCGCTCCCCCAACTCCGGGGCCGCCACTCTGACAGGATTGCATGGGGGGAGGTGGAGACAAGGCATGCCGGGGGGGGAGGGGGGGGGGGAAACACTCAGGCTTTTTTTTTTCCTCCGCCTTCTTATTTTTCCTCCCCCCTGCGTCCCGATATTTCAGTTGTGTCATCTGGTCACCCTATTTAAAGGCCACTATTCCAACCTCATGACTCCCTCCTCTCAGGGTCACAAATCAAGATTTGCAGGGAGGGAAGAATTTACCCAACACCTGTTAGTGGGGGAGAAAAACACCAGCCCCAACCCCCTAGGTCATGCCCCCTTCCAAAACCACACCCCCTGCAATTTAAAAAGGTTTCCTTTTTTAGGATTGGCTTCTGTGACTGCTTCGTCTTTTCCTTGTCATCCCATCCCTCCCACTTATCTAATCACTCACAGGCCTTAGAAAGTTTATCTGAAAATTAATAGCTAGATAACCTATCAACCAAAAGACATGCACAAAAGATGGGCTGGCCTACTGTCCAAAAACAATGCCCATATAAAGGGGCCAACACCACCCCCTTTAAACTTAAGTGCTGTGAAAGTAGAAGGTGCTAGTGTCCCTACCAAGTTGCTGTACCTGGACCCCTGCTCAGGGTCTCCCCATCTTCCATATCAGTCTCCGGCTAGTAACTAACATATTTGAAGTCTCTAATCTCCCAAGACTGGTGAGAGAAGGGACATTCGGTCTTTCATCCAACAGCTTCTTGGCTAATAGGATGAATCAGTGTGTGTTTGTTATTCTACCTTTCCCTTAATTTTTTGGCTGCTGCAAGGTGATCTCCCCTACTCTACTCAACCCACAGCCTCTGTTTTGGAGACCTCTTCCCATTAAAATACTTCAGAAATCTCAACTCAGACACCAGTGCTAGGTACTCCGGGAACAGCTTTGCCCCCAAGAATTAGGCCTGGTCTACACTGGGGGGGATGGGGAGAGGGGGGAAAAATCGATCGAAGTTACGAACCTTCAGCTACGTGAATAACGTAGCTTAAGTCGACGTACTTAGATCTACTCACCGCGGTGTCTTTACTACGGTGAGTCAACTGCTGCCGCTCCCCCGTCAACTCTGCCTA